ATCATGTGAATTAATGAATAAAATGTTAGTTTTTAGAAGGAATGAAGTACTTTAGGGGATTTAAATGTGTTAAATGGGCATTTGTGAATGAGGGTGTAGTAGTTCCAAGTTCTAGCAATGCTTAACACCTATTTTATCTTCTTAGAACTGTGACATTAAAGGACAAATATTTGGGAATTAGGAAACTATCAAGCATTACTTGTACCAATGAAAGATGTTGATGCAACTTTGTATGTGCTGTCAGGTGCATAGAGGACCACTATAACTAATCTGCAGTCTGATTTCTGACCCAATTCTGCATCGTTTCTTTACTTTAAGTTAGACATCCTATATTAATGTTGTATTATCATTATCATAACTACAGCGATGGTAAAATAGTGTTAATGTCTTGCAAAAAGTAGAACATAGAACATAGAACATAGAACATTACAGCGCAGTACAGGCCCTTCGGCCCTCGATGTTGCGCCGACCTGTGAAACCAATCTGAAGCCCATCTAACCTAAGCTATTCCATTATCATCCATATGTTTATCCAATGACCATTTAAATGCCCTTAAAGTGGGTGAGTCTACTAGTTTTGCAGGCAGGGCATTCCACGCCCTTACTACTCTCTGAGTAAAGAACCTACCTCTGACATCTGTCCTATATCTATCATCCCTCAATTTAAAGCTATGTCCCCTCATGCTAGCCATCACCATCCGAGGAAAAAGGCTCCCACTGTCCACCCTATCTAATCCTCTGATCATCTTGTATGTTTCTATCAAGTCACCTCTTAACCTTCTTCTCTCTAACGAAAACAACCTCAAGACCCTCAGCCTTTCCTCATAAGACCTTCCCTCCATACCAGGCAACATCCTGGTAAATCTCCTCTGCACCCTTTCCAATGCTTCCACATCCTTCCTATAATGCGGTGACCAGAACTGTACGCAATACTCCAAGTGAGGCCGCACCAGAGTTTTGTACAGCTGCAACATGACCTCATGGCTCCGAAACTCAATCCATCTACCAATAAAACCTAACATACTGTACGCCTTCTTAACAACGCTATCAACCTGGGTGGCAACTTTCAGGGATCTATGCACATGGACACCGAGATCTTTCTGCTCATCCAGACCACCAAGAATCTTACCATTAGCCCAGTACTCTGTATTCCTGTTACTCCTTCCAAAGTGAATCACCTCACACTTTTCCGCACTAAACTCCATTCGCCACCTCTCAGCCCAGCTCTGCAGCTTATCTATGTCCCTCTGTAACCTGCAACATCCTTCCGCACTATCCACAACTCCACCAACTTTGGTGTCATCCGCAAATTTACTAACCCATCCTTCTACGCCCTCATCCAGGTCATTTATAAAAATGACAAACAGCAGTGGCCCCAAAACAGATCCTTGAGGTACACCACTAGTAACTGAACTCCAGGATGAACATTTCCCATCAACCACCACCGTCTGTCTTCTTACAGCTAGCCAATTTCTGATCCAAACTGCTAAATCACCTTCAATCCCATGCCTCCGTATTTTCTGCAATAGCCTACCATGGGGAACCTTATCAAACGCTTTACTGAAATCCATATATACCACATCAACCGCTTTACCCTCATCCACCTGTTTGGTCACCTTCTCGAAGAACTCAATAAGGTTTGTGAGGCACGACCTACCCTTCACAAAACCGTGTTGACTATTCCTAATCAAATTATTCCTTTCTAGATGATTATAAATCCTATCTCTTATAATCCTTTCCAACACTTTACCCACAACCGAAGTAAGGCTCACTGGTCTATAATTACCAGGGTTGTCTCTACTCCCCTTCTTGAACAAGGGGGCAACATTTGCTATGCTCCAATCTTCTGGCACTATTCCGACAGACAATGATGACATAAAGATCAAAGCCAAAGGCTCTGCAATCTCCTCTCTAGCTTCCCAGAGAATCCTAGGATAAATCCCATCTGGCCCAGGGGACTTATCTATTTTCACACCTTCCAGAATTGCTAACCCCTCCTCCTTATGAACCTCAATCCCGTCTAGTCTAATAGACTGTATCTCAGTATTCTCCTCGACTACATTGTCTTTTTCCTGCGTGAATACTGACGAAAAATATTCATTTAGCACCTCTCCTATCTCTTCGGACTCCACGCACAACTTCCCACTACTGTCCTTGACCGGCCCCAATCTTACTCTAGTAATCCAGAGAGACAAGCTAGAGCTCTGGGGACCTTTATGTTCCACATGGCAGCTGGTAAAATGGAACTTTAGTTAATGAAAAATCTGTAATTGAAAGCTAACCTCGATAACGAAACAATCAGAGATTGCTGTAAGAACTGACCCTGTTTTATTAAAGCACTTTAGGGATGGAAATCCACCCTCCTTACCTGGTATGACCACATGTGACTCCATGCCACCAGCAATGAATTTGATTCATAAATGCTCACTGAAGTGGCCTGGCAAGCCATTACTTGCAATAGCAAATAGGGGTGAACAGCAACATCTGGCATCACCAGTGGTACCCACATCCTATGAAAGAATAAAAATCCAGTGTGTTATTTGCAGTGCTATTCCAAGCTTATTTTCTAAGCAGTACTTTTAAACAACATGCTGGGTTGTTAGTTGGGTAGATTCAGTTGAATCTACTCTGCAACATTATTGGATAACTATTTAACCATGTTCTTTAGTATTTTATATCAGATTAAGTTTGAAATTTAAAGACATTTCCCATTTCTGCAACAGTCGGGATTTGACAACGTGTGTGTGATTTTGATTTCTCCTTCCTTTAAGCACAATTTTGTTTGCAAAACCTGTAATTTGGTGCACGTCAGAGGTAAATTTTAAGCCATGTTTGATTTTTTGCGGGCGAGATGAATGCAGACGCCCAACATTTTTTGAGTACTCAGAATCATGTCCATATTCCCAGTGTGTTGCTAGATGGCTCAACTGTGTAGTATTCTGATTTGCTATCAGTTATTTTCTGATTTTTAACTGGTATGAGTCACCACAAGATCACTGGTTCTAGATACTATTTATTTAAGGAATGTGAAATGAACAAGGCAGTAGACAGGTGTTTCAGGGCAAAAGAATCTCTGCATTTATTTACAATACAAAAGGTAAGTATAACACAAGAAATATAGGTAAATGCAATGAACAGGGAAATTGACACAATCAACTACACCGAAGACAGTAATACTATTAAATACAGTATTAGCTAGATTAAACACGATTAGAAACTGAATACAACAGTTTTAATTACAGAACCTTTAATCAAACTTCCTACCCTTGGGGTCCCAATGCACTGTCACTACCCGCCTTTCCCTCCCTGCTAGCGAGGTTAGAACTTTGAGGTCTTGGGAGTTTCAGCTCACCATTCAGAAAAAAAAATGGTTTTAAAGTATGCCCAGTTGCTGACGTTCCTGCCATTGGTTATCTTGGTTTCGAACAGGTCCGTGTCTCGGAGCTCTTGTTCAGATAGCACTTGGTTAGCTTTGCTCCCTTCTCAGATGTCCTTTGTTTGGATGATGGTCTTGGTTTGACTTCCCTATTCTTGGTTCTCGGTGCAGCCATTATGTTTCTTGGTTCCGAAGCTGGTTGGTGGGGCTGGCAGGCTGCGGGAAAGCTGTTTGTGCAGAAGCTTTTTGTTGAGAAAAAGACTCTCTCCGCCAGGTGAGATCAGAGCTAGCAGTTATACAGACTGCGTGCCTTGTTATCTCCCCTCAAATCTGTGTTGTTCATTGTGTTTCTGCTGTTTCCTTCTGAACTCAATTGGTTTCCCAATAATTGAGCATATGTGTGAAATCGTATCTCTTAGGGCCCATTATTGTCAGTGCTGGGTAGCCCAAGGTATAGAAGCTGTCTCGGGCTAGACTTTGTTTCAGTTGATTGTTCTTTCAGAATAGAAGTATAAGTTGTTATTTCAGGCTGAACAGTGGTTCCAGTTAGCCATCATAATTAGAATAGAATCAAATCCCTAGAGTGTGGAAACAGGCCCGTCGGCCCAACAAGTCCACACCGACCCTCAGACCATCCCAACCAGACCCATCCCCCTTTCTCCCACCTAATCTACACATCCCTCAATACTACAGGCAATTTAGCATGGCCAATCCACCTAACCTGCACATCTTTGGACTGTGGGAGGAAACCCATGCAGACACAGGGAGAATGTGCAAACTTCACACAGACAGTCGTCTGAGGGTGGAATCAAACCCAGGTCTCTGGCACTGTGAGGCAGCAGTGCTAACCACTGTGCCACCATGCTGCCCCTGAGGTGTGTTTGTGTATTCTCCACAGAACATATTCCAATTTTCATTTACACTTTAGCAGTGTTGAAAAGTTCAACAATACTTTAGATTATGAGGAGTTTTTCTCAATCTTACACCTGTTCAGGTAAAAAAGCGCCAATAGAGGTTGGAAGACTTCAGTGGAATTAGACAAACGTCCTGGCAACCAGTACTTTAACAGTTGGGGTGGGGGTGGGGGGTCACGGGTACATCATGGGACTGTTATTTAGCAACTTGAAATAAATCTCCACTTTATTTGGAGTGGAACACCACTTTGAAGAGCCCAGGAAAAATGGAATCAAGCAGCAATGTCGCCATTATGCAACAATAAGCACAATGCAGCATTTGTAGGTTACTACATATTGGGTTAGACAGCTGAGATGGCTGGATAGCGAGTTTGCGATGCAAAGTGACACCAACCGTGTGGGTTTAACTCCTGGCTGAAGTTACTATGAAGGACTCTCCTTCTCAACCTCTCCCCTTGCCTGAGGTGTGGTAACCCATTTATCCCTTTCCCTCAAAAGTGACCACAAGTATGGCTACGTTGCAATATTGTTTCTGGTAGAACTACTCAATATTAGTCTCATTGAACTTATAGGCTAGATAAAAAATGTTTGTTGTTTTTATTTAATCTTGGCTTGCGAAGAATCTGACGCCTCTTTTCTCAATAAGCTTTTGCTCCTAAAAGTAAAATCAACCATTACTATGTTTTTATTTTTCTCTTCATATTTCTTTAGGGCAATGTAACTTTTTCATGTTCAGAGGCACATATCATTCCAGTCACATTCATGAGCTCCAGCAGTTACTTGTTGCTGCCTGGCACACCTCAAATGGATGGACTGTCTATCAGTTTCCAATTCCGCACTTGGAACAAGGATGGTCTCTTGCTGCACAATGAACTTCGTGAAGCATCTGGAACTCTACAGATTCATCTAAGTGATGGAAAGCTGAAAATAACCATTCTGAAACTGTCAAGGACCCAAACTGACATTGCTACAGGTAATTGCAACAGTTGATTACTTCATGTTCGGTGCGAGCAGAAATATTGAAACCGAAAGTCAGACAAATCTCCTAGGTTTCAGGAAAGCATTTTGGCAGACAATTTATTTTTCTTCCTAGGGGTTGTGAAAATGTCAGCGGGTTTTACGTTAATGCTTCAGTACTTAGCAGAAAATGAGTTTTGTAAAAGTTTGAGAGTTACTTATCAGGGAGCCCTACAGCTTCAATGCTTGGAATTTGGGGCATTAATTTGGGAGGTCTAGACTGTCAATCATGAACCCAGCCTGCATCATCTGCACAGAGAGCTAAGTATCAGATAAGCTTATGTCTCCTACCTCAGTCAAACATGCAGAGGTCCCAAAGGAATCCTGGCTCTGACACAACTAACATTCGGCCATTGAAGTCTGAAATCAGGCCTTTCGGCTCAAAATCAAAAAATGCTCATACAGAAAAGACCGTGAGCCGTATAAAAGTAAGAATATGCATTTATATAGCACTTTTCTCATCTTTAGGGCACCGCATAGTGTTTTACAGTTAATAAAGATCGATGGAATTTTTTTAAAGTCCAAGAATATACTTTATTCATCAAAAAATCTTTGCACATATACGTAGTCACAGCTCAATTCTGTACAGTGGCATATCAAGGAAACAAACAAACATTGGGGTTTGTCTCGATCCAAACAAACTGAAGTCATCTCTTACACAGACAAGACTATTTTCACATACACTTGAGGTACTGGGAGAGAATGGACCCCCAATTAACTTCAGCAGGAAGGCCTCAGATGGTGGTCATTCCCCACTGCCCTTTGGTGGTAGCTGCCCCAAGCTTTAGTGCTTACTTCAGCACCTAGTCGTGGACCTTGGAATGTGTCAGTCTGCAACACACAGTCGAGGTCAACACCTTGTCTGGAAGACCCACAAGTTCCAGGCAGATGGAATTATTGTCACTATTTGGTAACATAGCAGCCAATCTGAACACAGCAATGTCACTTAAACAGCACTGAGATGATGATCAGATAGTAATGCTGACTAAAGGAAGAATATTGGTCAGGTCACCGGGAATAATTTTCCCTGCTGTTCTTCCAAAAAGTACCATTGGATATGTACACTCATCTGAAAGCGAATGCAGGTCTCAGTTTAATGTCTCATTTGAACAATGACACCTGCAGTGGGCAGTGAACACTCAATTCTGTGCCAGACAGTCAAACTGGATCATGTGCTCAAGATACTAAAGTAGAGCATGACCCCACCATCTTTTGATTCAGGCAAGAGAACTGCTATTGAGTCACAACTGACATCTGTGTTCCTGTTCCAGGGAGCCAAGCATGGGTTTGGCTTATTCCTACCATATTTTACTGTGGGTGAGACATGACTCTTTCAGACAAATGATATGTCAAATTACAGCCTTTGTTGAACTGTAAAGTACAGGATTAGAAAATTACAATTTCCTTCCCCAGTGGCTTTGTGGGTCTACCTACAGCACATGAACTGCAGTGGTTTAAGAAGGCAGCACACTTCCACAGCTCCCCTTCTCCAGCACAACTGGGCTGGGCAACAAATGCTGGCCCAGCCATCAAGGTCTACATCCTATGAATAAATTTTTTTTCAGAAAAGTTGCAAACAGATTTAACACTTTTTTGTTCTGAGGTTTTCCTCTAGATTTTGATTTATTCTCACGATGCTATCTTTTTCTTGGATCGAACACAACTACAACGCTGCAATTTGTGCGACCAGAACTATCGCAATCTAAATTACAAACAAGTAACATTCTCTGCATCGCTTCTTGAATATTCATGAAAAGAGATGCACGTTCCTGAAGAATTTTGTCTATTATTCACCACAACAAATGCAAGATTGCCAAATTTGAAGCAATCGCTACAATTTGTAGTATAGGAGAAAAGGGTACTGATTGGTTAGGTTTGATTGGCTGAAGTGTGGCAATGGAAAAATCAGTGGGAATCTATATACTCCCACTTCCCCGTATAATTAAAATAAAGCACAAGGCACCTTTTTCTAGTGCAGTAAAAATTGTTATGATCACAGGAAACATGGCATTCATGCATTTGTCCTGATGAGTGCAAAATTAAAAGCTTTGGCAACTTATCTCTCTTTTCAGCACATCACTTCATCACAGTGTTGGGGCAAATATTGGGTATGGCATAAGTTAGGCTGAGTTAGAATGAAGTAGTGAGTTTTAGTTAGTTTATAAGCAGCAATCATTTTAAGATTTTATTTAACATTCATTTTCCAATTATTCTTATTCAAGAATTAAAATGTAGTTTGGAAACACTCAAGCAAGCTCAGAATACTGCTATAGCAGGCCGACTGAACTCTGTGAAAATGCAACATGAACCAGCACTTACTCTGAGGCATTATTTGGAGTGGAGTGTGATGGCGACCCTGTACCACTTTGAACAAACACTTATATGATAAACCATGGGGATTTTGCCAAGGGTAGGATTGAAGTGAAGGCTCTGGGAAGCAGAAGGGGGAATGGATGGGAACAGAGTAATTAGACACCTCTGCTATTTTGGATTATGCAGTGGTACTGGTATTGGACTGGGGTGGATAAGGTCAGAAATCACACAACACCAGGTTAAAGTCCAACATGTTTATTTGAAAACACAAGCTTTTGGAGCCTCATTTTTTCTTCAGATGCCCACTGACACCTGAAGAAGGAGTGAGGCTCCAAAAGCTTATATTTTTAAATAAACCTGTTGGATTATAACTTGGTGTTGTGTGGTTTCTGATTTTGGATCATGTGAAAAACAAAGTGTTTATCTGAGCAATGTAGTGTCTTTGTGACTTGCAATGTATAAATATCTGAGATTTCTCGCTGATGCTGGAGCTCTGTCTCCGAGTCTTAGCAAAGTAAACAACCATTTACCTGCACCTCAGTCTCCTGAGATTACTTTGTAAAATAATCTGCCTTCAATAGTAAATTCAGTTGATTTGATTGAAGCGTATAAGATCTTAAAGGGTCTTCTTAGAGTGCATATGGAAAATAGATGTTTCAGATTCTAGAATCTCACTGTTTAAAAATGTAGGTGTCTCCCACAGGGATCAGGAGAAATAATTCTTAGAGAGGGTTGTGAGTCTTTAGAACTCTCTTCTTTACAAGGTACTGAGAGACTTTCAATTGATTTAATGCAGAAGTAGATAGATTCTTGAGAAGAAAGGGAGGGGTGTGAAAGGTTAGCATGTGTGGCTGGGAATGTAAAGTAATCAGATCAGCCAGGACCTTATTAAATGGGAGAGAAGTCTCGTGGGGCCGAGTGGCCTACTCTTGCTCTTAAATTGAATGTTTGCATGTTCTCTGCATTTTTATTTTGATTGAAGGCTTCATTTGTTTTAGTACAATATTCATTGACTACGTTTAACCCCTTCCCTATTGCTAAATCATGATATGTTTCAATGTAGGTTCAATCACTGGATTTGTCTCTGAGGACGTTGGCTATTGTAGCAATGTCATTTGAAGAGGTTCAACCACTGTCAGTAACATTACTGCAACTAAATTGCCTAACTGCTTAACCTATTAAAAAAAAAGAAACTAACTTGCATTATGTAGTAACTTACGATCCCAGGAGCTCCCAAAATGATTCACATCCCATTAATTTTGAAATATAGTTGGTGTTGTGACAGCAGTTAATTTCCTCACAGCAAGATCCCACTAATAGGAGCAGAGAAAAATACCAGTTAGTCTGTTTTGAGTTGAAGGAGAATGTTGACCAGGATATCAGAAGAATTCCCCGTTCTTCTTCAGATATGGCTACAAAATCTTTTACATTCACAGCGCTTAGGTTTCACACTTCAACAGAAAAATCTCACCTTTCCTGGTACAAGACCCTCACAATATTGTATTGACTCACACAACATTATTATAGCTCTTACAAAAACAGAAATTGCTGGAAAAGCTCAGCAGGTCTGGCAGCACCTGTGGAGCGAAATCAGAGTTAACATTTTGGGTCAAGTGACCCTTTTTGTTTTTGCTTCTGATTTACACCATCCACAGTTCTTTCGGTTTTTGTTATTATTGTTCTATTTAATCCAAACATATTGCTGTATTTTTATTCTGTTGTTCTTAAAATTCTATTATTACCAACAGGGATAGGGTGGATAAAAGGCATTGAAGAGTTTGTTTAGCCACAATTGTATTGAATGGCAGTGCAGACCTGAGGGGCTGAATGGCCTACTTCTGTTCCTATGTTTCCAGCTTATTTGGATCAGATCACCAGATTTTCATGTACAAACTGTCAGTTCAGTTGTTGCATAGAATAGTATCTTACTATTTCGGTTTTTATTTAGTATTTAACTCACTGCCACGTCTCTTCTCGGCATGCCCACCTTGAAGAAGTTCTGCTTCTCTCTCTGACAGATGCTGCCAGACCTGTTGGACTTTTCCAGAAACTTCTGTTTTTGTTCCTGATTTACAGCATCTGCAGTTCTCTTGGTTTTTATTTAGTACTTACAGATTTTTGCAAGTCCACTGAAAGTCGGTATTGCGGCTGAAATTCAATTATACGCACTCTCCTGCTTCTAAAATAAAGTTAATAGACTATATTTGCTCAGTTAGGTGATATGGGTAAGGCATTTTACCTGCCAACTATCCTTCAACTCATCCCGCAAACCAAAACAGCTGTTATTTTGCATAACTTTACACTCCTATGAATGGACAAGATAGTCATAAAAAATTATATTTAGATACATCAAAACAGATTTGGAAGACAGCTTGGAAGTAAATCAGGTTTTGAATTGAAAATAACATTCATCCAACAATATTGACAGAGATGGATATGTAGATCGTCAGCTCCAAGACAATATCTTCAAGGGCTCAACAGAATCAGGCACAGTTTCCTTCGACTGCAGGATAAATCATGTGGTATTGATTTTCTCAAAAATGAGGCAAGACATCCCAGTGAGGTCAGGAGAAGCAGAAGACTGTGCTCTGAAAGACAACCCCTGTTGACTGAAGGCGACAGGAGGAGTAGGAAGTTAACAGG